CAAAAATAGAAAAATTTTAGTGCTACTACTATATTTTATAATGATTAATTTTCATTTTCCCAATAGGAGTATTAAAAAATGTATATTTTTCCCTTTGCACTACTCATTGGTATTTGTATTAAATATGCACACATTAAAAATGGTTAATATTTTAATTATCAAAATTTAAATTATGCTATTTTAATTCTAAAATTTAGTTTGAAATTTCGGCCTATTTAAAAGAGATAAATAATTTAATTTCCGATCTTATTTCACTTCGTTTTAACCGCAAATTAAGGTCCACTTTTTATTTTGTTCTGTATTTATCTTTTAAATATAACATGGAAGAATATCTTTGTTCACACAAATAGGTTCTACAAAAAGTTAATAAAAATTTAATAGTTTTATTTGAAATGCCTTTAAATTCTTTTTTTCGGTTCAGCCAAAAGTTAACATTTTTGAAATCTTCAGTTCAAAGGAATCAAAGAAAATTTCTATCAATTGTTCCTTTTCTTTACAAGAAAAAATTTCAGGTACATTTGAACAAAATGGATTTTTAATCCAATTTTCGTTTTCATAATCCTCGGGGAAATACATGCTGAAATTATTTATCAATGCATAACAATAATTTTTAATGTCGGATAATAATTCTTTTATTTTCAAATTATTTTCGATTAGAAAACTTTCTAAAAGTGGCAAAATGCTTAAAATATTATTATCCAATTCTTTGATTATTAACTCAAGTTTTTACTTCCTTGTACGAAGTAAAAAGGAAGTATTGTAATCGCGAAAAGTTTCAGGCAGCATATTTCAACGAAAATATCCATTTTGACCGCTTTCGAATGCAATTTAACGATGTTTTTGTTAGATATCTGTACGTAAATACAGAATAAAAGACTCTTTTCCTCCAAAAAAATTATAAAACTGCTTTAAAATAAATTCTGAAAATAATTTTTCGTGGCGTCCGTACGAACGTACGTACGTACGTATCTCGCATAACTCAAAAACGAGTAGCCTCAAAACGTTAAAATTTTGTATATAGGACTACTATAACATGTAGATGTGCACCTCGTATTTTGGTTGCAATCGGCCGCGCCAAACGTATATAAATATATTTATATATATATCCACTCTGTTACCCGACTCGGTTATCTCAGTTTCTTTACTTTTATATGTTTGTAAATTGTACATTTTTTGCTTTAAAAATTATTGAATTATGTTGTTCTTGTCTTCCGGTTAAGGTTTTTATGCCTTTAGTAAATCTGTATGCAATATTTTAGAATTATCAACAATTTTAAAGTTGTTTAAGTGCCACTAAGACTAATAATTTTTTTGATGGCGGCCATAGCTTGTTTACATTTGAAACAGCAGAATAGTGGATTTGTTTCCAATATGGAGAAACGTGTTTCGCAACAACAAAGATAACGCCTTCATTTATTATTGCGAATTAAATCATGCTTAATCCTTTCTGGAATTTTTTCGAGGAAATAAGTGTTTAAGATTTACTTAATTTTTAATAATTAGTAATTTTTAATAATTAGTAATTTTTAATATAGGTATTTTGAGTTTTTATGTATTTTTGCCTTGTAAGTTAGAACTGAATTAATTGAATGAGAAATACTCAATCGTCTGTAAAAAACTGTTTCTTTTTTGTTTTGTTTGCTTAATTTCTTTTATACATCGTTCTAGCTTTATTATAGTATTTGAATAGAACATGTGGCAACGATTAGATAATTCTTTAAATAATATATATTTTGTGCATTCTGAATTATAATATGAATGAAATGTAATACTGTTAAGTGAACCTAGCGCCAGAGTGTCGCTATGTTAAACAAATAGAGTGAATTTTAAAGAATGCATTTATTCTATTGTAGTTTATGCGCTGTCGGCGAAGTAGATTTAATTAAATCCAATAAGTTTAAACGAAATTCAAGAAAAAAATGCGTATAATTTAATATTCCGTACAAGGAAGTCATGTGGTGTACACATCAGATTTTTTATCATTGCATTTATTTTACATCTAATGTTAAACAAATTAATACTTTGCCCATGCAATCCTAAATTTAATTCAAATAACTTTCCAAAAATATCAGATAAATATGCTAACGCGCCAGACATAATCCTCTAAATAAAAAATTGTGCAATTCAACGTTTGAATTACAGAGGAAAATTTGAATTTCTGATTAAAGTTTAAAAGGAAGAATTAAAATTTTGCCTCTAGATAACCGCGTTAGTTTGTAATGTAACAAAAGCGTTTCATGTTCATTGCCCATCCCATGGCATAAAATTTTAAATATTTTTGAAGTTAAAGCAAAAATGATAAGGAGGACTTTAATTTCCAATAGTATGATTTGAAATTCAGACATAGCCGTGGAAGGAAAAATAAATTGTATGTGTCTTATTAAGAATCAAGATAGACCAAAATGGGGATAAGGTCTGCTGTAACATGATAACATTCAAGCATTTTAGATTCGAAAGAAACAATAATTAAAGAATTTGAGAGAGATACGGAGTTCGGACAAATTTATGCATAGCTTAAGAATCCAAAAATTTTGAAGCAGTAAATGAAACAGGAATTAAGGGTAGGATAGCTAATTACAACGCTACCCGGAACAACACAGGAATTGATGGAAGACGGGATTTCAGGGATGGTCTGTGAGCAACAGAGTTTCAGGACTGCAATGAAATGACGGATTGGAGCCACATGAAAAGCAACGCCCAAGGTAAAAAACTAATTTTCTTTTACTATTCTAAACTGAAATGCTATTCCCAAATTAAGGCAATGGAACATGTGTACTAGAAAATTCTTATAAAATGCAAATGGCTTGAATTATATGTAATATTTTTATTTTAAAGATAGCCTATAATTTTTGAAAGAGTTAAAAGTTAATGTTTTCGAAATTGCAATATATGTTGAAATGTATGACAAGGACTCTTATTTTGAAATTCTATTTATGAGGAACTGAACAAATAATGAGGAAAGTAAGGAAAAGTAAATCAACAGCCAAACCTACAAACGTAGAATGTGTTGTTTTATATAGTAGGATAAGATTTGTAGTGCTAAGTTGTTTTCGACAGTGCGTGATCTTACTAACATGCTGTGCAGAATGGTTTGTGAACAGCTGTACGCGGAAATGTTGTTCAACTATCTATAGTGCGATAATTCAGTACAACGGGCAGTAGAGAAAAGTTACTGACTCTTGTACATAATTAGTATGTGATAAAATGAATATATTATAGTAAAATGAATGTGCTATAGTAAAATTAAATATATCACTGCCGCATAAATACTACTTAAGATGTTTTTATCTTTCCAGGTCCAAATGGAAGGGTGGAAGGATTCCAGGTTCAAATGGATAGTCCAAATGCAATTTAAAGATAAATGATAAAAATTTGCAAGTTAAAACCTTTACGCAAGTTAAAGATTTGATGTAAAAATACGCAAGCTAATTTTAAGGGGCTACAAGGGTACAGAAATGTAGGGCTTATACGCTTTTCTTTAAAGTCCGTTTGAGGACTTGTAATTCAAAGCAATTTTTTGTCGAAGAGTATGGCACTATGTTTTAGTAACAAGCAATTTTTTCTGGAAGAGACGAGTGTGGCACTATGTTTTAGTAACAAAGTTAAGTTTAATTTACATCTTTCCTCTTGCCTTATTACGCCACTAAGCTCGCTCATTTTGGAATTTGCGTAGATTAGAGTAGCAAGAACTTTAGTAAGTTAGAGGAATAGCTCGTAACCGTATGTGAGAGTTTCGTGTTTATAGTCAGGTCCAGACGACTGGTAATTAATTTTATGTTGTAATACTTTTAGTTTAACACTTACAAGTGATAGGTAGAATGAATTTAAATTTAAAGTAATATACATATATGTTTGCTTGAAGAGTTTAGTTAAGTTAGTGGAGAAAACGACAGAAGAACGTTTTAAGTAATACGCAGGTAAAATCTTAAGCTTATTGAGATTAATTTAGACCCAGCTAAGTGATAGGTAATAATTAATACAATTCGTGTTTTGAAAACATTTTTCTTTTTATAAAGAACACTTAAATTTTCAGAATAACAAACAATTTTCGTTAAGAAAGTTATTATTTTTTAATAGATTTTTCTCTTGATAATGAGGGCTTAAATTTTTTACAATAACACGCAATTTTTGTTAAAAATAAAACGATAAATTTAGACACATTTAAGAATAAAACTAAATTCCTTTAATGTTAAATTTACTTTACTGTTACTGAAAAATTTACGTTCCATCATGATCGCTCGAGCACGAAAGACATAAAAAGCAAACCTACCCACACACTGCATATCTTTCAACACAAAAGTGATAAACAACCCACCTTTCACTTAAACATTTCTTCAGACAAATGGTTACAACCAGCGAATAACTTGCTATACGGAATCGCCATTTTTTAGATTACGAAAATGGAAACTTATTTTTAGGCTTCATTCGCAGATCTGCTTTTTACGGTTACTTGTATTCTATTTTATGAATTATTGTATTTCAGTGACATTAAGAATGAATTTAAGGCACTTTAATGTTTCCTGGAAATACCAAAAAAATATTTGAATACCTAGGAATAAAAGATCGATAATACATGGATAATCGATGCATGGGAATTCCTGCAAGATGGGATCCTGTGTTTCCAGCGAATAAACCCTATTTTGGTAAGAATTTTAGTTACTGTCAATTTGGCAATTAATTTTTTTGTTGAAGAAGAGACTTTAGATACATTTTAACTATTTCATCAAATAAATAAATACGAAACCCCGATTTTCACAATCAGTTAGATAAATTAAATAATAATACTTCCAAATTTCATTAAACTTATCTGATGTAATTTGAATCCTAAACAAATATTTAAAATTCATCTCAGTACCCCATCATTAAAATTTCCTAATACCCCAGGAAATTTAACAGGGAGGCGACTAATCCATCATATTAGAGTTATATATCATTAAAGCAGGATAATTAACGATAGAAAATTCAAAGCAATTTTGAAAAAGAAATTGAATATATCTTACTCTAGCTAAGCCAACATTGGGGAACGTTTCATAGAGCATCTCCTCACCGACACCGCTCCTTCCGGATTTCTGACCTTTAAGAACACGTGCAGCTGCAACAGTGGCCAGGCTCATTCCGTCGCCAACTATCAGTATTATATTCTTGGCAACATTATGATTCTGCTGCCTGTTTAGCGTCCTTTCTAAAATGGTCTGAGCTTTTTCATTGAATAAGTCTCTGTCACCTAAAAAAAATTAAACATGTTTAAAACATTACTTAATTCTTCCTATCCTACATTTATTACAAGTAAATAAGAAAGCCCGTCACTGTTCTGCAGTTTTGTTTCATTTTGTTCTATTGTTTACAATACATTTATCACGTGGCATTTTATAGTACAATTTTTATAAGCAGAATCTGAAAGGAATTGGATTCTAAATATACATCATGCTAAAGTTAATTGTGAAAATTAAGCTCGGCATATTTTTAAAATTTATGGCAGGCGTATAAATATTTATTTATACCTTTTACAGAATATTTTACAAGAACGTTAAAGATATTATGCAAATAAAAATTTTAAAAAGCAAATCAATTTAACTGCGCAATCACAGATATCTTCAGCGAACTATCAAAAATAGAAACAAACAAACAAAAAAAAAAAAAAAACTATGAGAAAACTTACAGCCAAATAGGTTATAATAAGGCCCACCAGCAAGCGAGCATCAAAAGCCGCTGAACACCGGTAGTCCAATCTGGGGTTTGCGAACTGGCTGACTGCATGGGCGTTCTCCTCATGTGTAACATGGATACTACGCATATTGAGGACAGAGAGCCATTTTTCCCTTCCTCCTCGAAGCATCCCTCCCTTAACCTGTAGTGCTTAATGGCGGAGCATGTAATGAATAAAAACAAAATTAAAAAAAAAGGTCATAATAAGAAGAGAGAAGAGCATACCAGCGACCAAGCGGTAAAGTCGCTAAACACTGGTAGTTCGACCATAGGCTGCATGGTTGGGTTTCATAGTTTTTCCTGTGGGAAAAGAGGACACGAGCTAGTTTCCATTAAAACGTCGGGCCCACCAGCGGCCGAACTGTTAAGTCGCTGAACACTGGTAGTTCGGTCCGAGGCTCGAATCCCGGGAAAGTGCTGGCAGCATAGGCTTTTTGTGGTTTTCCGCATGTGTAACGTGTATACGAGCCAGTTTTCCTTAGAAAGTACTCCACGAAGGCAGCCCTCCCTTAGGCAGATAGCCCTCGAGGCTTTGTCATAATCACATAAACCAAACCAACCCCTTAAAAAGGACGTCAACCGAAAACATTGCGGCAAAAACATCGCGGACGAAAACCTTGCGGAGAAAACAACGCAAAACATCGTGGGAGAAAAGAAAGCAAAGAAAAAACATCATGGTATAAAATATCGTGGTCGAAAATAAAACGGTTTAAAAACTTCGCAATTTGAAAATATCGTCTTTAACAATATTGTGGTAAAAAATAAAATACCTACAAATCATCGCATGACGATAACATAGCACACATACGTTTTCAGGTTTTAAAAGTTTTAAATGCATATTCGTATAATGATTTGCGAGCGCAAGCAGGAAAGAGGGATTCTTTTACTTCCATATTTTATATTTTTGAAAGAACTAATAAATTTTTAATAAATATAAGCAGGAAACTTAAGCATTCAAAAATTGAAAATGAGTAAAAAATTAATACAACTTATATAACTTAATAGAATTTTAAATTTACATATTTAATTAACAAAGAACATTCATAAATTAACCTTTTTTATAAAGTTTTACTGATAATTTTTTTATGAAAAATACAGCCTAAAAATGCTTAGAATAAGGAAGATAAATAACCGCATGAGGTTCACATTTGTTAATCCGATATTGTTTTAGTGAAAATTAAATATTGTTTTGTTTCCGTTTATTCTTAAAGTGACTAAGATTTTATTGTATAGCTTGCAATAAATATTTTGGATGACGATTTGTTAGTTATGACGAAAGTCAGTTACATAATATGTCAGTGTGAGATTTCAAAAACGCATGTGTGCGATGTTATCATCATGTGATAATTTGTAGGTGCTTTATTTTTTACCACGATATTTTTAAACCGCGAAATTTTTGAACTGCTTTATTTTTTACCACGATATTTTGTACCACGATGCTTTAGAACTGCGTTTTCTCCAACGATGTTTTGTACCACGACGTTTTCGCCTTGCGTTGTTTTCCCAGCGACATTTTAATGCGCGATGTTTTTGCCGCGATATTTTCGGCCGTAACCTTAAAAAATTCCCAGACAGATAACCCTCGAGTTGCATCACCTCAATCAGTTAACCTAGCCTAAGAAGAGGAAAGATCAGAATTACTTCAAGGTAATCTAAGACCTTAAAATATACAACATTAATATGTTAAATAGGTTGCGAAAACGCGGCGTAAATATGGAAAAAAAAAAAAAAACTTCCATAATTCTAATAAGAAAACTAGGCAACGGTATTAACAGTCAGAGACTGTTACGTATGAAACAAAAAATTTATGCGTTTACGTTTTATAACATCATTTTATTAAATTTATGTTAAAAATTTCGTATTTTTAAAAATTAAATTTTCTTAAAAAATAGAATTCTTTTTCAGAAAAGTTTAAATTTCTCTTGCGCTCTAATTTTTAATGCTTTATTTTAACATTCGCATTAAATTTTTAAAACACTTTGATAAAAGCAATTGGGTATCCTCTTTTGAATTTAACAATTTGAATTTTTAAAAATTATTTTTGTGACTTCAGCTTTGAACAAAGTTTCACTTTTTGTTTAATGTTGTCACAAGTTTAAACTTTTTACTGTACTTAAATTCAAAAATGCATATCCGCACCTACTACAGCATATAACAAGATAATTTCTTCCAAGTATCGTTCATTTGTAGCAAAAAATGAGACAAACTGGAGTATTTTCGAGACAAAAAATGTATATTGAGAAAATTGCATATAAAGTTTTACCTCAGACATACCTTGAATACATGTTAATGAGAAACACCAAATTACATTTACAAGTGAGTTTGTATTATCAGGTTCAATGTTCCTTCTAACCTTCTTCGGGAACATGCAAGGACCTGACTCGGAACAGAGAGCTTACTAAAGCTATGTTCAAAACTGTGGGAAGTAAACAGGATACACAAGAAGGGTATACAAAACCCTTTATTTTTCTCTATTAACAATAACTTCCGTACTTCGGAATACAATGACCCACCACTTGGGGTCAAAACGTAAAAGTATAAAAATAAAACTAAACTCTAATTTAACTTTAAAATAATACACGTGGAAGATTGGTGTTGGATGCATATTTAATATTTGCATTTCTTTTTTTCTTTGTATATTTTATTTCCTCACTGCTTAATTTTATGTTATGATTTTTGCAATAATCTTGTTACTGGCAACGTGCTTTATTTTACTATTAAGTTTGTGTGAGTGGCAACAGTTGTTCATGTTTATGTTTCAGTAGAATAGCGTTCTTAGCCGCACTGCGCTGTAGGCAATATTTCTCTTAAAGAGTTTTATGTTTTAGAGTAACAATAAAGTTTATTATACAAAGCTGATGCTTTTTAGTTCAAGGCAACTATTTGGTTCCCCAGGTGAGGCATTTAATGCTATTTAATGTGTTATTATATGCTTTAGAACTGTGTTTAACGAACTTTTAAGTACTGGTACTGCGAATCGTCTGCGTGACGTCAGAAAGATAAGCGGAAATATTTTTTGCTGCTTAAGTATCTTGTTGAAGTTATTTGTGCTTATTAATCATTATTCATGGTAATAATGACAGAATTAAGTGAATCTGATCTTAAAAGATTAAGAGGACGAACGAAATCTACCCTAACGCGGCTTCACAATAGTTTCAGTAATCAGTTAAGTTTAACGGAATTAAAAGCACGATTAGAAAGAATTGAACAAATATTTAAAGAATTTGATCAATATGATGCTGCTTTACCCGAAGAAGCTTCTGAAATTGCTGAATTCGAAGCTAAATATTTTGAAACGAAAGTAATGTATCAATCCGCCATTGAATCCGTAACGGCCAGAAATGTTTTGATTTCAAATCCCACTGCAGTTGAGGCTAGCTTTAAACTTCCGCGTTTAAACATTCCGAGTTTCAATGGTAAATATACTGATTGGCTTAATTTTAAAGATCTGTACATGGCGACAGTTCATACCAATCAGTCATTAGCGAAAATTCAGAAATTCCAATATTTGATAGGACTTTTAAAAGACGAACCAGCTGCTATTATTAAGCACATTCCGATTTCCGAAACTACATACGATGAGGCTTGGGACAAATTGATGAATCGTTATGATAGAAAAAATCAAATTGTAATGTCGCTTGTCAGAACATTTCTTGAGCAACCCAAAATTACTAGCGCTGATTCTGTTAATCTAAGAAAACTATCTGATACATCTGATGAAGTTATCCGTGGATTAAAATCTCTTGGCGAAAAGGCTTCGTCTAGAGATGTTTGGCTAATTTATTTTTTGTTAGAAAAAGTCGATCCGGAAACGCGCCATTTATGGTCACAAAAAAATGGTGAAGAAGAATTTCCTACCTTAGAATGTTTTTTGGAATTCTTAAACTCAAGATGTGTTTCACTTGAAATGTTAAACACTCATAATAATGAAAAGCGAGTATCGCATAAAAATCAGTGCTCTGTTTTCGAAGAATGTTTCACATAATAATAAAAATTCTGTTCTAAAATGTCAGCATTGCAATGGTTCTCATTTTTTATCAAAGTGTTATAAATTTAAAGGTGCAGATATTACGACTAGGAAAAATATCATTCGCAAGAATTTATTATGCTTCAATTGTTTCGGAAATCATCAATTAAAATTTTGTTCATCGCAGAATGTGTGTTCTATTTGCAAAGCAAAACACCATACTTTACTGCATGAAGATATTAAAAGTAATAACGTAGTTGTGTCAAATTCATCTCCATCTGATGAACAAATTTCTAATTCAGACGAACAAAATAATATTTCGAGTTTTTCTATTCAGGGTCAGAGTACTTCATTTTTACCAACGGCGGCAGTAATAATTTACGATTCTGCTGGTCAAGGTCACGAATGTATCATTCTTTTTGACAGTGGAAGTGAAGCTTCTTTCATCAGTGAATCATTTATTCGACAATTAAATATACGCAGACAAAATGCCCGTATTTGCGTAAAGGGACTTGGTGATTCTGAAGCAGCTTTGACTCGTGGTTATGTAAATGTAAAATTGTTTCCCAAATCTGAGTTGAAAAAAAATGGTGTTTTAATACAAGCATATATTCTTAAAAAATTAACTTCGCATTTGCCTTCAGTAAAGATTGATAGCAAGGACCTTGATTATTTGAATTCAATTAATCTTGC